ATGTCTTATCCTCTGAACAATACACAAATTCTGCCCTGGCTGTGTGCCTCAGTGAGTTGAGGTCCAGTCTATGAACCACAGGGTCGCCGGTTCAATTCCCAGTCAAGGCACATGCCTGGGTTGTGGGTCAGCGCCCCAGTAGGGGGTGCACAAGACATAACCACACAATGATGTTTCTCCCTCTCTTCTCTCCCTCTCTTCTCCCTTCCCCTCTGTCTAAAAATAACTATTTTTTACAAATGCACAAATTCTTTGAGAATATGTATTCAATATCAGTCGTCCCACAATGCCAGGTTCAGTATCTTTGGTGTGGTAGGAAGTCAAGAAAATTATTGAATGAATAAGATAATTAAGTAATGAATGATCACATCACTTTTACCCAGTTTTTTGTCTCTGCCCTATCAGTGTATGAATTGACACCCACATCATTGTCAAGTTCCATTGTCATCAATTATGAATTAAAGGCAAAAATTAAATCCTTGGGTAGTTTTTTAAGCAAAGGTCCCTTAACCTTAACAGTTTTCCACTTATGCTAAGCTTCTTCCTTATACAGCCAAGCTCCTCTAAGAATCTGGACATCATTAGAGGCTTTAAAACTGGCCCCCGGCCTTTCTCTTTTTAAACTTTCTGTTCTGACATCACTATAGATTCACATGCAGCTGTGAGAAGTAATACAGAGACCCCCACGTACCCTTCACCCAGTCTCCTCCATGGTAACCAGCTCATGATGTAGTACAGTACCACAACCAGGAAACCAACGTGGGTTCAACCACTGATATAATACAGATTCTGCACATGTGAGTGTGTGTGCACGTGCAAACAGCAATGACACAGGTCCTTTCAAAGCCAGGAATCATCATAGTTTAAGAAAAAAAAAGTGTCTTTAAAATAATGCTCTCCCCTTTAAGTAAGTCAATTCATACATGTTTTTTTCATTTACGTTTTCTGTATCTGGAGTATTCAATGTGTTTGCCTGCTCTCAAGGTCTCAGGTGTACGTCTGGGCACACTTACTCTGCAAGTGAGCTCACAGCAGCTGTGGTTGGGATTGGACCTCCTTCTCCCTCCTCCCCCCACCTCTCTGAGTGCACAGGTACACGCACGCACACACACATGCACACACACTCAGATTTCCTGCTGCTTGCCTTTTTTTTATGCCTGAGTACCTTGCTGACAAGTGCTAATAACAAAATACCCAGAGAGAGTCCAGTCGAAGTTAGCATACATTAAACATTCTGAACTTGTCCTTTTGCTCATAGATTGTGCATAATTAATAATTAAACAGTTTCAGTTGTAATGGGTTGACCTTCCTGAACTGTTCATTATTCACAAGGCAAAGGCATCACTCAAACTTTTTTCCCGTTGTCCTTCGCTGCTCTCTAGCGTGCCGCCTGCTTGTGTTCCTGGTGCTTAGCAAAAGGCGCCGACCAGGTGGTCACTGAAACCTCAGAGACTCAGAGACGTCCTCCTTGGTGTCCAGAATCGCCTACTGAAAGGGTCTGTGGCAGCCATCTGTCTGTAGCAGTCGCCTGTGCCACAACGAGATCCAGCCTGCCTCCCTTCAGCAGGACTCTATGGCTGATGTGGGACCAGGGTCTCAGGTTAAAGCTTTTGGTTAAGGTTGTGTCCATGGTCTCAGACCACACCTCCATGCTTAGAAGCCCATCCCCGAGAAGCCCTTAAGGTGAAGTATGGCACCCAAGGTCTTAAAGTGAGTGACTGTTACTGACAATTTAGAGTGCGTTTCTGCTGGTCCTGAGAGTGATTAGTGTAACTGCTTCTCCAATTTGTGTTTTTATTTTTGAAGTATGTTTCTTCATCTGTCCTGAACCCGTACTTCACAGAGAACAGTTTTGATAAGGAGAGGTGACTAGCGTCCTGGCCCCTCTGAGCCCGTGGCGCGGTTCTCAGTTTCCCCCACCCTGTGCGGACGGTGCTTTCCCTGCCTGGGAGCGTCTGTGAAACCGGAGCGCTTCCCCACGAGCCTCCCACCCTCCTTCAGACAGATCTGAATTACATGAGAGAACAGGCAAGTTCTTGGAAGTTTTTCACTTGCTTAAAAATGAAAAAAGTATCCTCCAAAACCCTCCGCTGTTGTGCACACTGTCAGGTCTGTCTGTGTCCATCCTCCGGGGCGCACACCGTCACGTGTTTCTCTGGCGCAGGGGGCGCTCAGAGGACCCCTCTGCCCCGGGTTTCTCTGCGGCACTCCGACCACCACCACGCCTTGTCAGTCTTCGGTATCAAAATTCTCCTTGGAGGGATGCAGGACACATAGACTTTAAAATGAGTAGAAATGGCTGGCGCTGTGTATGTGAGATTAGAATCCCGCCCCTGCCCTCCCCCTGCCCCATCTTTAATGAGTGGTTCTTTCCAGGCACCACTGAGATGAGAATCCGCTCCCTGGTTCGGCAAAGTCGACGTGGGCTGGCATTTTCACAAGTGAAATAAATTATTCATGGGTACCACCCAGTGCTCCTTAGTTTTATGTTATGAGGAACTTAACAGGCTACAATATCAGGTCTTAAATAAAATTAACTGTCCATGCAAAGATGTCACATTTCCTCATTTTGTTTCTCATCCATGTTAAAATGACATCTTCATCAAGTTGTCTAGTCTATAATTCATTAATTTACTCTTGGTATCATACTTTGAAATGAGGCCCACATTAGCATCATGTTTTATACCAGGACCTTTGTAGAAAACCAGTCCAGAATTTTAACCATCTTGGTAAATATTCAGCCACACTGAGGCAGTAGGCTTTCCTTTCCCCGAACATTGCATTTTAAAGCAGCTGTTACTCCGACACTTCCACTACTGCAGCCTCCAAAACATTTCAGGAACGAATGACTTAGAAAACTAACAACCTGAGCAGAGTCCGTAGTTTTTGTACCTCAAACTTGGAAGTCTGTTTTTACAAATAGTTTTTGTTTGAGACAGTAAAATGTCATGCCTTGAAGTGGGCCTTTTCGACTCTCGCAGGCTTGGTGATATGGATGGCTTTCCTAAAACGGGCTGGACTGAAATCGATACCGTGTTTTATTTTTGCTCTTCAAGCCGATGGGACTTCTGTGACCATTTTATAGTACCGTTATCGAAGACTCGTCATATTATCACATGCCTTGTTTCTGTTGAGAGAGGATTTCATCGGCCCCCCGCCCCCAGTTTCCATGTCCTCACCGTGTAATGCTGCATGTAATCCTTTGAACTTGGCAAGATTTTATTTCACTCCCATTTTCCTTTGTTTTCCTTTCCCCTTGGAAGCCTTTCTCTACTGATGAGAATTTTAAGTTTATGATTACTAACCTTCCCCTCCTCTGGATGAATAGAGTACATTCAAAGAGGACAGATAGGCAAAAACTAAGAAACATTTTGTTCACATTTCTTTTCTTTTTAACCTCTTACGGGATTTATTTATTTTTATTTTAATTTACTTTTTCTTTTTTGCTGCTTTGACCCCCTCAGTTCCTTTTGATTCAGTTGTATTTTCTAGCAGTTTCCAATAGGAAACAAAGCCTTAATAAGAGTTCTAGTTAATTTTCTGTCTTGTAATTACCGATCTCATTTTTCTGATAATTGGCCACAGCAATTATATGTATATTTACTAATCACATAGGGGGCTGTACGATTGTATCTATCTGCCACCATTGATAATGACACACATATTGCAGAGGTGCTTTTATCATCTTCTTTTTTCCACTACATCAAAGCCATTTCCTCTCGTTCTCAATAATGAATACATGCATGCATTTGACACAGTTGTGTGCTAGAGAAATTGTTTGGCTCCCACCAAATGCTGCATGCTCTGAGTTTCTTGCCTGCAGCGCTGGAAGGTTGTATGTAATGATATATTGCTCATCCAAATGGCCAAAGCACTCCAAAGCACAGTGAGATTAAAATAAGTCATTCCTTTGTTAATTTAAATAGGTGCATGTATCATACTTTGCAGGGCACTTTGTGTAGGGATGTCAGGGAGGAAAAAAGCCGCCGAAAGGTATTTTTAATAGCAAATGAGAATAGATGAGAATGGAGTCATTTGCAGCTGCCTACTTTATGTGGCTCTCTTGTTCCAACTGTAGGTCTAATGAGATGACTGTTAAAGTACTCTGCAGTGTAATTTCATTACATCCTGAGCCGTTACACTATAAACACAGTGGCGCTCTCTGTCATTCTTGAAAAAACTCCTAAATTCTTAAAGCCTTCCTTTGCAAATGGTAATGGGGTTTGCTCCCTGTATTACGCAGTTGTTGTCGAGCATTTGTTGCTGTGTAGTTTTCTGCTCTTTAGAGTGGCGCCGCCTCCTCCCCAGTTCTGTTTGGTGGTCAAGGCAGGAGTTTTCCATTATGTCCTTAACACACTGCTTTCCTCATGCGACACGTTTTCCTAGGCTGGCAAACAGGCTGGAATTCTTTTCCAGAAAACAGCTTTCCCTAAAAGCCTTTACATTAAATTTATATATATATATATATTTACATATATATGTCATATATATTTATATATATATGGACCAAATGATTCTGTTAGGGGCAAACAGTTAAGAGCAGTTGAATATATAAATAAATGTAAATAAAAAGGAAAGTGTAAATAAATAGCAAATCCAGTAAAAGAAACAAAGGTCAACACAAGAATAATTTAACAGCTCTTTGTTAATTACAAGACCATTTGTGTGTTACTTAAATAATCATTAATTTCTCATTTACACTTTCGTACCTTCTTTCTTGCCCTGTGGCTATCATTGTCCTTTTTTCACCTCCCCTCCCTCTTTGTGCTCCTGTTTCTCACAATTGTAAAATGTGTGTGGCTTTAAATTTGGCATTTTCCCTAAGCATGTGGAAGAGGCAACCTTTTTAATTGGATGAGGCCTTATTTTTCTTCCCACTGGCTGGTGAATCTTTGTTATATATTCATCTTTAGACTGTTACTTTGGTGGGGGGAGGAAGGGCGTAAAGAAAGAAAAGGAATTGTTGTGACTTTTGGTGACTTGTTTTTCCTCCATCCCAGGATTCGCCCGTCCTTCCGGTTGGAGAGTTCTCCGAGCCATTTGTACATTTCATCACTCAGTGGTGAGCCTGTTTGCAAACATGCCATGCCCTCAATGTAAATGATACATGCCATTAACTCAGAGGCTCCGTGAGACCTTATGGCTCTCCCTGCTTCCTTTTGGAGATGGGAGGGACTTCAGGGCCTTGGGCAGATGGGGCAGCAAAGCTGAAGAAATTGTTTAAATTATGTAAACGTTATTTACACAAAGGATTGTACTTTAGAGACATTTTCTGTTTTAATAAACTGAGAATCAGGCTACTTTTTTGAGCACAGATACTGTTGCTATCCACTTTTTATTTTTTTTAAGAAATACACAATTTTATAGCCCCCACTGATCAGACATGTGAAGCTTATTTTTATTAATGTAACCTCAAGTTACCCATAAAACTGTCCATCACTAAGTGGAAGCAGCATAGTTTATTAATTTATTGGATTTTCCATAAATAACTTTTATCTTTGGTTGTATTTTAAACGTAATACTGATGTCCCGTTTCAATGAATTTTGATGTTTGAAAGACTATGAAAACATGGTTCTGTTGGGTCCACTTGGACCATTAAGGACCTGAGAAGAACCACGGGATTTAGGTCAAAGGGGCGCTCAGAGTCTCCAGGCAGCCCCTTGTCATTTTACACCTGAGGAAACAGGCGTCTTTCTGCCAAGGGTTCTTTTTCAGCCTTCTGCCTTTTTCCTCCCAGTAGAATGACTTTTTCTTTATTAGCCCTTCACATCACCCACCTCTCCCCCATTTGTTCGGCAGCACTTATGAGGCCTTGGAAGGCCCGGTTGCTCCACTGCCCTCCCTGCGCCCTCTCCCTCACCCCAGCACCCCAGCATGGGGGGGGGGGGAGGAATAGGGAGCAGGGGGCGACCACCCCAAGGCAGGAGACAGAGCCAGCTAGAAACCGACCTGGACATGCTGGAGCTCCTCCACAACTACCTTCACTTCTCTTTTCCCCTTCACTGAATTCCTCGTGGCATCACCCCTTCCAAGTCGTGTCCACTGCTGGAAAGCGAACCCTTCGTCCTGGGGTGCCGCAAACTGGTGCTAAACCGAAGTGGTCGTACGCTGTCCACGTCCTTTCCCCCATGATCCATCTGATGATTACGCTAAAGTGAAACCAAGAAATATTCCTTAATATAAATGTCAAGCTTTATCACCTTTTTGACTAAGTGTAATATGTTACCTCTTAATAAAAATGTCTTACAGAGTTTATATTCCATAGAAAAATATGTAGAGATTTTTCCCCTGACTTTTAAAATTTTATTAACACTGTTTCTATTTATTTAAAATATTTACATAATGCTCTGTTAAGTTTTAAAAACTGTTTTCACTCTACAAACATTTTTTTCCCAAATCATGCCATGTTGGGATAAAGGTACATGTTGGGTAAACACTGGAATCCTGACTTCATTAATATCACAGCCATTATTCAGAAATATGTATTAATCTTTCTTTCTTAGTTCCCCTTACGTGAAATTCCTAGAAACACGCAGAAGCACGTCCTGGGAATACCCCATTTTACAGTGCAGAAATTGAAAATCAAACTGTGCAATTCCTCAACCGCCTGGAGTGCCTGGTTTGGGCGTCACTGGCTCTGAAGCTGTTGGATTTGTGATGGGGCGACCGTGCTCCTCTCTGTCCCACTGTGTGGCCAGACCAGCCTGGGGGTGGGGCCAGTCTGGGCAGGCGGGGATAAAAGCAGATAAGGCTTTGCCTTCCCCATGCCCGAAAAATTAATCGGCTGTTATATAAAAGTTTTATGGAGACAGAGGGAGGGATAACCTGTGTTGAAATTTCCACAGATGTCAAGCTGAAACAGAAATGATAGTGGGTAATAGCCTTGTTTTCCCAAGAGATACAGCTACTTTGGAATGTCAGATTAGGACTGTTACCAACTCCACTGGAGAGACAGCTTGAATTACTTGCTAATGGATGCAGTATTTGAGAGGTGCATATGGTTATTTATAGGGAAGGCAAATGTCCTTGATGACATTATGGTTCATAACTAGGGTTCTTGTTTACCATATGATCATTAAATCTCTCTGCTTAAAAAAAATACTGTCAGCAAATGTGAAGATTGTATGAAGGTCAGAGGTTGCCTTATAGAAAGAAAAACCATCTGTGTGACTTTCCAGCAGAAGCAGCAATCTCTCTTCATGACTTCATCCCACAGACACGCTGGATTCTGTACAAATAGTCATCTCAGCCTTGGGTGGGGGCTTCAGCACATGGCTAAGTACATGCTGCAGGTACTAATTATACCTATCGCATGTAAGGTAAATATTTTGCATGAGGAATGTGATTCGTTAAGCAGTTTAAACAAACCTAACTTTCCCACAACTGTTTAATGAATTGTCACCTTGCATTGTAGTCAAAATAAAGCTGAGAGAATGTAATAGTCACCATTTGTAATTTTGTAGCATTATATAGATTCCTGACCTGTTTTATGTATTGTTATTTGGAGTAACAATGATGGAATGAGATGTTTTCTCATTTGAGCTGAGAGTCACATGTCTTTATTGTGTTATCCCAATTACCAAAAAAGAAGTATATTGTTCCCTAACTTTAAGCTTGAAATAAGTTGACAGCTATATCAGGAAGAGAATATTGCTGCTTTTTTTCACAGTGGTTTCGAAAATAGAAGTAGGATAAACTTAAATTCATTCCTTATCTGTATTACAAGAGTAATAAAAAAGACATTTGTATTTCTGATTCTTGAGATCCCCCAAAATCTGAGCAAAGGCCGAAGTAGAAGAAAGGGAGCACACGCTGGTGCAGGCGCAGCCCAGAGACGCTGCGGGCTCAGCCGCAGCCACCGGGGTGGGCGCACATCACCACAAGCAAGTCGTGGTCTTTTTGCTGGTGGAGGGTCTTACCTTCAGAGTGTATACAAATGCAGCATCTGTGAAACGCAATAAAGCGAAGCACGTTAAAACGAGATGTGCCTGTACTTTGGCCAAGAATTGAACATGATGAATTTCAATAACATCCCAGTTCCAGGGGAAGTAGTCAGTGATGGAAGTTACAGCATCAACTTAGAAGTGATAGAGATAATAGGCGTTTTTTTTTTTCTCTTACAGCATGCGAAAACAGCCAAAAGAAAGGCCGGCACCTGAGGAATTGATGGTAAGGAGTTTTTTTGTTGTTATAACACATTAGAATTCTCCATTTGTATGTCTGTGCTTAACATTCTGTTAAAAGGACCAGGATGGAATTTAAAATAGCCACAGGTTCTGGAGATGCCAAGTATTTATTTAATTTGGGTAGGTGTATTTGAAGCTCAGCTCCTCACATAGCAGTTTTTACTTTTTAAAAACCCACCATCAGTTTGAAAGTTAATGCAGAGCTCTTTTCCTTTGCCTCCCACCCGCGGGTCAGAGATTACTCCAGGCTACGCCTCGTCCTCATTTGCTGTTACAGCCTCTCAGCACTCAGAGGATGGGTCACAGAGAACATAGTCAGCACACAAAGTTTTTAGTGCAGCCCTGCAGGAAGTTCTGAATGTGGCGGGGAGCCCTCTTGGATTCATGTAGAATGAAATTAGACCGGCTGCAAAAGATCAAGCTAATGTGAATCTTTGGTCTGTCCTCAGAAAGAGACACTATCAGGCTGTCGGTGCTGTGTTCTCAGCTCCAAGGCCGCGTTCTTTGATTGCAAGTGACAGTTTTTAGTCCCGCAGGGAGAGGAACAGAGATGCTCCTGACAATTCCCAAATGGTCATTTCTTTATGCAGTGTTGGTGTGACAATGCACAAGCTGTTAGAATAACGTTAAACTCGAGCATTAGTGAATAATAGTTATAGTCTATTCTTTCTAATGTTGGGCATACCATTCCGTCTTAGATTATCGCAGTCAGAGCAAATTCTGACCGGTTTTGCTTCACTACTTTAAACAATAAGCATTTTAGAGATAATGTCATCTAAGCATGCAAACTTCTATATCTGCAGCTTTCAGCCCCAAAATAAAATAATAGTCTGTGTCTTTTTTGTCATGAGTGCTTTCCAGGAAAGTAGTTTTCTCCTTCCTGTCACCTCTGGAGCAAAATTTCTTTTTTCAGGTTAGTTTCAAGTTAAAGAAAGTTCACCCCTAAAAACTCTGTGCTTTGTAGTCGTGCAGGTTTCGTGTCTAGAATAAACTGCCCTGGTGGGAGTAGAGGGTGTCTCTTTGGTGGCTGGGAAATCCTTGCAGTTAGTCACATTTGAGAAAACTTGGAACAGGTTCTAGAGATGGAGACCCATTTACCTTGTACATTATTATGCTATGGCTGGATAGCTCGGCTATTAAAACAAAGGAATAGAGTTTCATAAAACAGATAATGTTTGTAGGTGCATGATTCGGTACTGCACTGAGTTAGCCGCTTATAAATAAAACATGTGCAGACGTATGTACTGGTGAGGGACACCATTCTAGGGCGACAAGTCATAAAGATAAGATTAGGGTGGGTACCTCCAGTGCCTTAAGCGCGCGCTCGCGCGTGTGTGTGTGCGCGCGCATGTGTGGGGAGAGAGAGAGAGACAAGGGATATGTATTTCGATATATCTCTTTACAACTATACCCCCTGGTGTGTGCTGTTCCACATTTTTAATTAATAAGTATCAATAAATCAATAAAACACAATGAAAATTCAGTCATGGAAGCACCATCCTATATACTTAATTTAACATTATTTCTAGTGCTGCTCACAGTCTGACTTAAATGAATGAACTCCCTCAGGTGTAGCAGTAGTGACGCTCCCCCTGGCTCAGAAAGGGCTCCTCGGGGAGGCAGGAGACAGTGAGTGTGTGTAAGGCCCTGTGCTCAGGGAGGTTGCGCCCTGCCTGCCTTTGGCCAAAATAGTGGGCTCATAGGGGATGGGAAAGAAGTGGATTGTCCCTGGTTTGAAGAACCTGAGTCACATCCTAGGGACCCAATCTTAAGGAACCAGTCTCTTTATTCCTTCTAGCATATTAATGGCTTTAATTTTTCCTTTCCCCTCTCTGCCTGCAACTATTTGATGGTGCTCCCATCTGGAAGCTGAGAGCATCCTCTGGAATGCATGAACTGTAGAGCCCATTTGTCACTGTGGGTGGGGGCCTGCCTTTCACAAAAAGAGCAGTTTATCTCCCAGGCACAGTAACTCCAGGCAGCAGGGTACCAATGTGGTCTGCACAGCATGGGCTGCATCGGCCGTGAGACCTGCAGGATTGTCAAGGTTTCCCTAAGGGCCTGCGTTTTCCAAAGCAAAGGAAGAAACTCAGATGGGTTGGGGGGGAATGCTGAGAGTTACAGATTCACAATCGGGGCTTTTACATGAACTCGGGTGTGGCCCTGAACACTGGTAAATGCACGGAGGTGTGCACCGTGCACACAGTGGGTGCTCAAGCAGTTTTTGTCGTTTGATTTGGTGGGATCACCTTATATCCAGAATACCCAGAATTCAAATCATTGCCTTTGCAGTTTTTGACCATGTCAATCTTAAAGATGAAATGTACAACTCAAGTTTAATCTCTTGAGGCCACTAAAATCCCAGTGTTAGACTGAACTTGGTGGTTTAGCCACTCAGTTTTGTCTGTATGGTATGGTTGTTCCTAAGATGATTATCAGTTTTTTTGTTCTAAGTGGAAATATTTTAACACTGGGCCAAGACGCTTCCTCAGTACTTACATATTGGGAAGGCAAGGGTCGGTGTGCGCTGGTGCACTTTTCTGGCAGAGGCATTGAGATTGAGCTACGTAAAGAATTTACTGAGAAGTTTTATCACCAGGATCTGCATCATGAGAGATCTCAGAACTAGGTACACAAGTGAATTCAGCAGATGTTTACACACCATATGTGCAAAGTCTTATGCTGGACCCGACAGAAGATACCAAGAGTGAGCCGTGTGCATGCAGTCTTGCAGGGGATACAGCAAGTATACAGGTAACTCAGTAAAGTAACTCCCGTGATGAACTGCAGAGTGCTGTGGGGACCCGTCTGGGGAAACAGGGAAAAGCTTCATGGAGAAGGTAGCGTTCAAAAAGGGTCTTTGGAGGGTGGGTTGAATTTTAATAGAAAGTTTTCAGGAGGACATTCTAGGCAAAGCATGCATGTGTAGGAGCTCCAGACCTTCAGAGCAGTGTGAAACCTCTGCTGTCTGCTGGACTAGAGGTCCCTTCAACAGTGGCCTCGCGGAGTCCCACACCCACAAAGCCAGAGTTCAGACAGGCAACATGCTCACCCCCAGCTAGGCAGCTCGTTCAGAAGTCCCATATCTCCTGGCAGGAACCCTGGTGTCCAGGCCTGAAAACTTCGACCTGGCTCGGAAGCCACCCAACTGCCCACACACACCTTGTTCCACGACTGAGTTCTCTGGAGTGGTCCCATTCAAATATAGGGAAGCCCTTCCCCCTTGGAAGGATCTGGTCTTTCTTCAGTTCTTTAAGAGCTGTTGCCCAAATCAGGAGTCAGCTTTAAATCTAGCACAGGAACACCAGCTGTGCCGGCAGCCGAGGACATTTGGCGTGCTGGCACAACCAGACGGGCACCCACACACCCCTTGCCTGCTCCTGAGAGACGGGTGCCGTTTTAAAAGAATCTACTTTCCAATCACCCAGGCATTGCAGGAATGCCCTGTGTCAGTGCCACCCCAGCTCTGTGACCTGGGTGCAGCAGACTTAGACAAAGTTCTCAGTCTGCAGCAACTCTGTGGAGGTGGCAGGCAGAATGTTCGGCAGGCTTCACACAGCCAAGCAGGGACGGCACTGCTCATGCAAAGAAAAACAAAGACAAAAACAGCCTCTGCCCGTCAGAGAGGATTGGCAAAACTGCAGCGCGAGAGAGGAGGTCGATAATGTAAAGGTGGTAGAGGAATTCTCCCAAAACACCTGCAATCAGACTGCAGGAAGCAAAAATAAAAATAAAACTCAGACCCTTAAACTCAGGGACAGAGACAACCTAGGTGGGAGCATTGACATGAAGAAGTTCTGGTTTTGCTATTCAAAGTGTATGTTTAAATATTTTTAGATAAAAGGGACAGGGTGAACAACATTGTAGTACAGACCATTTGCTGTGTAAACCACAGAGAACCCCTTCTGCAGAACTACCCTTCCTTTCCGGTCAGGCCGTGACTTTGCAGGGAAAGTCTCCACCCTTCCCTTCCCTTAGCAGCTCCCAGTTCCCTCCCACTGCAGTGTCTTCATCTGCAAAACAGGGGTGGACTGCATCCGCAGTCCTTGACCTAGGGTCTGTGAGAGGCCCTGAAATTACATCCCAAATCTGCATGCATGTGGGGATTTGCATTTTTTTCTGAAAAGAAGGATTCGTGGCTATCATCAGTTTTTCAAAGGGGACCATGACCCTGAATGATTGTTAAGCTCTCTCGCTACCTTCCCATTCTGTTAGTTAGAGCTGTGTGGCGAGGGCCAGACAACGGGCAGCTCTGGAGAGAGGCACTCGCTGGGAGGGGACTTGCTTGGCGTGGGGGTCAGAAAGGAAAGGCCTGCTCTGTGGAACTGGGCAGTGCTTCCCACCGGCTGTCAGGGGCCCTTTAACCTCCCAGCGAATCCTGACTGTAGGCCTTGTCTTGAGCAGGGAGGGTGTGGGCCACAGACACCTCTGCAGTTACAATTGGGGTGCAGAGTACTATAGATCCTTGTATGCATTTAAAGCATTTCCAGAAGCTTTCCATGTCTAAGCTCTATTTAATGGAATCTATGCATAGTAAGTAATCAGGTCAGAAGAAGCAGCACCCGGTTTGAGATCAATCGCTGGCTAATACTTTATCTAGGCCACTTTATTATCTCATGCTGATCTGATTCCCATTCTCTTCCGCCTTTGTAGCATGCACTTTGGCTGTGGTAAAAGTACGTATCACATACATATTAAAAACATATACCCATTCTATCTGTATGTAAATGCGTGAGGCACAGCTGGATATTGCAGAGGAGTTTGATTTACTAATAGTTATTATCTGTTCTGGCTGTTCAGTGGCAGAGAGAATTTCAGAGAAACAAGCTGGCGCAGAAATTGTCTTTATGCTATTACTACACTGCGTTAGTAATTGTTTAAAAACATGGGTTTTCTCCTTAGGTTCTAATAATGCCTGTTATTTTGTGCGTTTCCTTGCACATTCTGGGGTAGGGTGTCCTCGTTTAGCACTTTCTCAAGTTT